GGGGGGCGGGAATGGTACAGGGCCAGTGCAGGCATGCCCCTTCCCCAACTTGCTGCCCTGGGCAGTTGCCCTCGCTGCCCACCTCCAAGGCTGGCTTTGCTGGAAGTGGCAGGGCAGGGGTGTGTGGGTCAGGGCAGGGGAGTGCAGTGGCAAGTCTGTGGGTTGGAAGCAAAGGGCACCAGCACATTAGGGCTGCTTAGTGTCAGAAAGCAGTGTGGGGGACAGCTTGCAGCTGGAACTGAGTCCTAGTGCATGAAGGGGGCAGGGGAAACTGATTTTCCACGATAAAAAAACCCAAAGTCAAATGCCAAAATACTTAGGTATTTAGAATTATTTATTATAACGACAGATGCACTGGTAGGCTTCCAAATTGCTTTAAAATTGTAAATATATCAACAAAACATTGTGTTCAATGGATTTTGGGGGTTTTAAAATCTGAATTTTTTATTTTTTTTTTTTTTAAAACAGAAAACCAGGATCCCTGGTCATGAAATGGAAAGTGACTGAGGGTAGTAAAACACGGAAACAGGCTACCCAGAGAGGTTGGGAAGTCTCCATCCTTGGAAGTTTTTAAGAGTTGGTTAGACAAATACTTGATTAGGATGGTTTAGTCAGGGATGATCTACCCTGAGCAGGTCCTATGGACTAGATGACCTCCTGAAGTTCCTTCCAGCCCTATTTTTGTGATTCTACATCTCAAAAACTGGTAACTAAGGCAAATACGTAACCATGTTTTTCTTCAAGTATGTATTCATGTGGACCCCACTGTAATGAACTGGCAAGGAGTAACCTCCTTAGACAGTGGGTGGCAGACTGACTGCTGGCATGGTTACCTGCCTGCCTTAGTTACCAGTTTTTTTTGAGATGCAGAATAACAAAAAATAGGTGAGGGTACTAATCAATGGCTTGATGTCTAGTTGGCAGCAGGTATTAGGGTACTGCTTTGGCTGTCACAAAGCAATTTATTTAATGAACATCAACAGGTTACCTCGAGGCCCCCCCTCCAATTTCAGAATATTTTGCCAATGGTACCTACCATCCAAGGACAGGGGAGGAGACAAGCAGCCTAGAGTAGTGGAAGAACATGTTAGGGTTACCTAGATGTTTGCAAGTCAGCAGGACCAGATGAGATCCACCGAAGAGTACTGAAAGGATTGGCTAAGGTAATTTCAGAACCATTGGCTATTCTCTTTGAGAATTCACAGAGGGTGGGGCAAGGTCCCAGATGTTTGGAAAATGGCAAACATAGTGCCCATAAGCCAGTCAGCTTGACCTCAACACCCAGAAAGATCTGGAGCAGGTCATCAAGGTATTTATTTCTAAGCACATGGAGGAAACAAGGTGATCAGGAACAATCAGCATGGAATCGTCAAGAGCAAGTCGCACCTAACCAATCTGGGCTCTTTCTATGACAAGGGAAGAAGCTTTTTGGATGTGATATACCTTGACTTTAGCAAGC